AAAACAAATACAGAATCCTCTATCGCTTAATAGATCAAAAAAAAAAAGGAGAACTGGAGAACTCTTATCTGCGCTTATGTTAAAACAACCCTCACCAATATGCTAGACTCAGAGGAGTGATATGACTATTAACCGTTCACTAGCATCTGACAAAACATCTACACAACATGGCCGTATTCAACTATCCCATTTGCAGATAATGCAGTTAGGAGGAAGACCTATATCATCTTTGAATGCGAGGCAACGGCTCAGTGGAGACATAACCTAGCATCCAGAAAAAATCCTTGGGAATGAAATTGTAGCAGCAACAGTTAATGATCTGAGAAAAAGGATTGAGTCGATGTCCTGAACTGGTTAGAGATGGTTAGGGACTATTCGATAGATTTATAGATATGTTCTCTTCGATGCTATGGTAAAGGTAAAGACTGAATGAATTTTTACAAGCTTTATCGAGTTATGACATCGGATGTAGGGATAAGGGATATAGGCGGCCACAAGGTCTTCTGCACCTCGACCTGAATAGATCTATTGTGCTTCTTGTTTTTTTTTATATCTCGCTGGCCATCTTCAGATTGTTAATCATCCTCCATAGTTTGCCAACGGCTCCTTAGTGTGTAGGATCTTTCTTGCGGTCCTACCTGTCCTAGTTGCAAGAACCTGCACCTACATAAACCTTCACAGAAACATAACATTGGTTCTGCGGTCTCCTCCTGGCAGTATCAGAACAGTGTTTCTTCTGGTACTCCTATCCGGTGCATGTGCCATCTTGTGTGACAGTGCCCTGTCAGGAGTCCAACCAGAATCTTGGTTCGGTTGCGGTTGCCTTCCAGTAATTGCTTTGTAGGTTTGGCGGATGGCCCTTGAATGAAAGGTTGTCACGATAGCTCAAGTGGTTAGAGCAGCGGCGTATTGAGCCGGAGGTCGGTGTGTTCGAATCCCGCTCTTGACACTAATTTTCATCTCAATCAAAAACCTTAGATACAAAGAATAATTAATTGGAATATTTAATATTTTCTCTGAAAACGTTATGGTTCTGAAGATGCGTTTGTCTTCTAATTTTTACATTTTTTTCCCCCAGAGCAAATTTATGACAAATAAGCATTTGTATGGTATTGGTAGTATGCATATATCATTGTAATTATAATAATTCAGTTAGTTTAGAAATGTGGATTTATTAAGTTTATAATAAATAAATTCTAAACTTCAAGTGATCAAGCTTAAAGTAATCGAAAGTCGAAATCCAAGTCAAGAGAATTATATAATAACCATTATAGATTGTTCATACTGTTATTCATCAGTAATCAATCGAATGAAAGGTACCGAGGTCCTATTTTTGAAAGAGTAGATAAGATTATAGCTTCCGTTGAAATGCACCATTAGCACAATAATTCTTAAACAACCACATAATTTCTACATTTTCCCGTCTTTGTTATTGTAAACGTTTAATCCGATGATGTTATAAATAAATAAATAAAGGAACGATGGACGTATTTTTACTAAAGGTAAATACAAATCCAGTTTGTTTACAGTTGGATGGCTATTTGGGAGGGGGGGGGTTAAATGAAGAAATCGTGAAAGGTTTAATCTGTAACTATTGTGAATAATGAAGCAAAGAAAGTTTCTCCCTACTCCTGCTGGGTGTTTATTGTGGATTTTAGTGAATCTTTCAAAGATTATCAGCCGTTATTTATTAAAAATTTAATTTTAAAAACGTTTCTCCGCCCATTTGACATATTGACATTTTCAGTTTAGTAAAGTGGAGTAGTTGGGGGGGACAAACGGGCGTTTCCCCATTCCCAGTCTGTGTAAACTATAATTTTTCTAAAGAATTGTTCTGCTCACAAAATGTTTAATGCTTTTACTGGCCAATTAATAGAAATTATTCAGGCATAGCAATAATTCTGGGAGAAGAATCGTCGTTTACAAAAAGTGAATCGACCTACCCCACTAAAATCATTTCTCTTAATTCATTTATATTTTTTAATTTAATTAATAATTAAAATTCATTAAAATTATTTAATGAATCACTCACTTTAATCATTTAATTTAATTATTTAATTAATATTTTGTATAAAAAATTTCTTAATTAATTAAAAACCTTCGGCTAGTGGGTTGGAACCCTGCTCGTGAGACTAACTTTTTAAATTTCAACCAAAACCTTACATAAAAAGATTAATTAATTGAAAGAAGTAATTTGGCCAATCTAGTAAGTCTCTTAATGTTTCCTACTACAGTGCTCTGTCAGTAATCCGAACTAATTGCTGCAGGGGTGTGTACATTCGGATTACTGTAAAACCGGGATTACAGTGTTCAAAAAATAAAATTAACAACCCTTTATTATTATTATTATTATTGAATATACGAGACGTTAAACCCATTAGAATATATACGATGTCAATTTTCTTTAAAAAATCTCTTTTTTTTTTTTTTTTTAAAGTTGTTTCAATGCTGCTCTTTATCATTCAAGTTTAAGCAGTAAGGTATATCTCGACTCAAGTAAATTGTAAACCGATATAACATTTCGTTTTCTAGTATTGAAGGGAGGTGAGGGATTCACACACACACACACACACTCTCTCTCTCTCATTTATTTCTCTTTTACACTCTCACGCTCATTAACTATCTCTTTCTCTCTCGCTATCATTCATTCGCTCGCTCACTCTTTTTTCACACACACACACACACACACACACACACACACACACACACACACACACACACACACACACACACACACACACACACACATTCACTACATCCTTTCTCTCTCTATCTTATCTTTTTTCTCTTACACTCTCTCGCTCATTCAGCTTTCTCTCTCTCGCTGTCATTCATTCACTCGCCCTCTTTTGTCACTCTCCCACTCACATTATCTCACTCATTCACATTCTCTCTCTCACATTCTCTCCCTCTCTCACTCACATTCTCTCCCTCACTCACATTCTCTCTCTCACATTCTCTCCCTCACTCACATTCTCTCTCTCGCTCACATTCTCTCCCTCATTCACACTCTCTCACTCACATTCTCTCCCTCATTCACATTCTCTCCCTCACTCACATTCTCCTCTCTCTCTCTCTCTCTCTCTCCTTTCTCTCTCTCTCTCTTTCTCTCTCTCCTTTCTCTCTCTCCTCTCTCTCTCTCTCTCATCTTTTTCTGCCTTACACTTTCTCGCTCATTAACTATCTCTTACTCTCTCGCTCTCTTTCTCTCTCACTCACATTCTCTCCCTCTCCCTCACTCACATTCTCTCTCTCTCTCTCTCTCTCTCTCTCACATTCTCTCCCTCACTCACATTCTCTCCCTCATTCACACTCTCTCACTCACATTCTCTCCCTCATTCACATTCTCTCCCTCCCTCACAATCTCCTCTCTCTCTCTCTCTCTCTCTCCTTTCTCTCTCTCTCTCTTTCTCTCTCTCCTTTCTCTCTCTCCTCTCTCTCTCTCTCTCATCTTTTTCTGCCTTACACTTTCTCGCTCATTAACTATCTCTTACTCTCTCGCTCTCTTTCTCTCTCACTCACACTCTCTCATTTACTCAATTACTCTCTCTCTCTCTCTCTCTCTCTCTCTCTCTCACTCTCTCTTTCTCAAACTTTCTTTTCTTTTCTCCTTTACACACACTCTTTCTTTCTCATTCACTATCTCTTAATCTCTCACTCACTCTCTTTATTTCACTGTCTCTTACTAAATCTCTCTTTTTTCTTTTTCTATTTATTACACTCTCCCTCGTTCACTTCCTCTCACACGCTCTTCCTCATTCAGTATCTCTTACTCTCTCACCCTGCTTCCTTCAAATAAGATTTCATTTGTTCTCGTTGAATTTTTCCCCACTTCAGTTTATTGGAATGTTCGGTTGGAAGTTGGGTTTAGAGAGTGTGGGGGCGCTGTATTTTTTTGTAAAATGTGGTATCGTTGAAAAATCGCCACAAGTTCCTGAGAATGACGAACTTTTTCCTTAATTCGGCAACGTTCATTGCAGTTCCCCTCTCCTTCCTTAATATATTTTGTCGGGTTTTTTAGTCGAGCAAAAATAGGTTGATTGATAACCAAGTTACCGAACTTCGAATGGCGGCGGACTCTCTGTTCATTGTCAATGTTTATTATCGAACCAATTGAAAGATTAGTACTTTTTTAACAATTTTTATTATGCAATAAAAAGCGGAATGACGAACATTTTCTTTGAAATGTTTGTAGATATTATATAATAAAAAAAATGGAATGACGAACGTTTCTCCGTCCCGCCTACAATGTTTGTTATTGATTTTTTTTCTTTATTAGCTAATTTGTAATAGTAGAAAGATGTGGCTTTTTTCTTAATGAATTAAATTTTTAGACAGTGCGGATTAGGAAATTAACCGAATAATGAAAAAGAAACTGCAATAAGGCCCTTTTCCGTTCTCCGTCGGGTCGTTTATTATTGATTATTTTCGTTTAATGTGGAATCGTCGAAAGTTGGAAGTTATGTAATAAATAAATAGAATGACGAACGTTTCTCCGTTCTTTCTTCTGTCTCCCCCCCCTCGAATTATTATATTTGTACAAATATTGTAATAGCCGAAAGAAATGCGTTGAAATCGAAATTTTAACGTTTCTCCATAAATTATTACAATAATGCAAGCGAAGTAGTCGAAAGTCGCTATTGGAAGGAGGGGGGGAGGGAAAGAATGTGAAATGAATGAGTCTCGGTATCGATGTTTAATTCCGTATCTAAACACGATTGACTACTTTCAACACGCAACTATCAGTACAGTGACCTTAGAAAATAAACTCAATGCATTATTTTTAAAAGGAATATAAAAAAACTGATAATTTCGTTTTGAATTTGACTATTACATAAGTTTTACTTGGTGTTTAGTTAGTTTCAAACCGATAAGCATTAAATTACAATGTATCTTTTAACATAAGGTTAGGTTATTTCTAGTTGTTATTTTATTGACGTGTTATTTTTGAATATGAAACAGGATTTATTTGGTTTTTGTTTTGTTTTTTTCTGTTTTAGACTTATGGAGCCGTCGGATGAACTTTTTCCAACAGCTGCTCTGATCTCTTGCACAATGGGAAAAGGCATCCTCAGAGTGAAATTTAATAATTAAAAGACCCATTAAATGTTATTTGGCTGTAATTGTGACTGTAAACCGTCCTTGATTTTATTCTGCTCGTTTGTTTAATTAAACTTTTGCACTGCTGTCTGTTACATTCTTTATTTTATTTATTTTCTAGAATTTTCGGACAAATTTAGGTCGGATTGATCAAAATTGTCAGTTTCTTTTCGTAAAGTTGATAAAATGTGTTTATAACGTTGCGAAGGATTCCCTGGTAAATCATTTATTAAGAGTCAGCTTTTTAATTTGATATGAAATTTTGCTTTCTTTAATTAAAACTAAAAAATGTCACATAATTTTAAAATTAATACATGTGGTACATATTCTTTTTTAAAAATATAAATAAATGAAACTAAATTTGTTTTGTTTCTAAGGCTGATGTTTAAAATGGTTTAATTTTGTAATTTTGATGTCATTATGTACCTCAATTATGTATCTTGAATCGGTTTTATATTCTTGAAAAAAAAAATTGCGATGTTCATTATTCAAACAGTTGAGCATATTTATGGATTCGAAAATGTGTCAATCTTGTATTGAATTATATAAAACTTATAAACAATTTAGATTTTACACCAATTTTGATCTTGTTGGCGACATAATATATCGTCAACGGTTATCTAAATTGAATTTCTCTACGACTTAGTTGATTTGTAAAAATGAAATTAAGTTGTAACAGATCTCCAAACAAAAACTACTAGAACATTTTTGTGTATTTTGTGATGCCTTTAACATTTAATTTACTTAAAATTATTTATGGAGGCTGTTGTGCACCATCTGGACCGTCTTGTCACAATGCCTTCCCAGTCCCAAATGTCTTATCGAGGATCATCAAGTTTACATGGGTGAGTTTTGGATTTTGACAATATAAATTGTTTCATCTCGATAAACCTGGCGGGTTTCGTATTACTATATGTCTATACGCACAAGCATACACTGATCCAAATTTAAATTTTTTCAGTAGACAAAGCCAAAGCCAAGCATCAGAGTTATGCTATAAAAGCGGATCGTCTGTGGCAGGAAGCGCTGTGGGTGTGAGTGGTGTAGTAGGTAGCAGTGGTTTAAGTTCCATAACATCGAGTAGTGGAAGTCAAAGGGGCCACTCCCCTGCTACATATACTGGAAGTGCCAGTGCTAATTACACTCCAATGAGATACATTCATCAATCACCATATGCACCATCTCCTGGTGTTGTTACTCCAGTTTCCACTTTTCGGGATTTTCACCGAGAAAATTCATCTAGATCATCGGTAATAATTTTAATCAGTTTCATATACTTTTAAAGTATTCGTTTATTGTTAATTTGTTAAAATTATTCTTTTAAGGCTATAGTGAGTGATCGTCAAAATTTGGAGTACCTTAGAGATGGACCAGTTCCCGGCCAGGTGAAACCGAGGATATCATTATTACAATCATCAGATTATCTTGCACTTTCGAGAAATAGACAACTTCAGTAAGAATCTGTTTGTTTATANATATATATTTATTTTATTTAACAACAGGTCTAGTAAATAATTTTTTTCATTTGGATTTCAATTATTGAGTTTAAATTAATTTTACATTTCCAAGAAATTATTTGTAGTAATTGAAGTATAGCCCTTATTAGCAACAGTTATTGCCATTTAAACGCTTGCTACTCACTTACTCTGGCAGTACTTCCTGCAATTAGATTGAAAAGTCCTCTACTCCAGTTTTTAAGTCTTCTTCTCTATGAAACAATTTTCCATTAAAGAAATGGGGCATTGCCCAGAAGAGGTGTTGGTCTGAAGGAGCAAAGTCAGGACAGTAGGGTGATAGAAAACCAATTCTATTCTTACTATTTCCAAAAGTTTTTTTATGATCACAATTCTTCATTTTGTCTAAGTACCTTGCTTATTTCTTGTTTTCAAGTCAACATTAAGTTGCTGCAATGCAAACTCTTTTTTGTATATCTTTGAATTTTTGATTTCCCCTAACTACTGTAAATGGCAATTCATACTTCAATGTGACAAATTTTGTATTGACGCTTCACGATTACTTGTAAAATATGGGCCTCACTAGCTCCTCGAACTAAATTAAGATTTAATAAACTATTAATTACAAACTCAATATATTTTCATGTTATAGGAATGAGAACTACCGAGATTCAATTGGTCCCCCAAATTTACCACCTTTGGATGTCAGTTCATCACCCGTAAAGAAAATAAGGCTTGGGGAACCCAAAGATGTACAGAGGAATCTTCGGATTGATACTAGGGTTAGTTTTGGCTTATTATTGAATTTCTTCATTTCTCAGTTTCATACTTGTATGGGGAAAAAACCATTGTATTAATAAATTTCAATTTTCAATAGTTAAACTGATCATTTCATTGAAGCCACTTGTCGGCTTTAATTTTTGATGAATATATCGTTTTTGAACATAATCTATGAAACAATGGGTATTATCTATTATTGAAACATTAAATATTTGCAGTAGATTAGTATAGTGATATTTGTTGCTAGAATTAGTTGTTTTTTTAATTTATTTTAGGCAAAGCAAAGTGAACAAAATGAGGTAACAAATAAAAATGTAATACAATTACATTTATTCATATAACCTTAGAATTTACTCTGCATGATTTTTTAAGTGTTTATACAGCTCTTAATTATTATTTCATTAATATATTTATTTTTTTAAACAAATATTGTGCATGATAATATACAATTTACAAGAACCATAATATTACCGTGAAAATTTGTTTGCTTCAATTACTTAATTGAAATTCTACTAGAATGATAATTTGACTTGCTTGTTGTTATGGCAAAGAAAAACCTTAGAAAGTAATTTTTTTTTATTGTTAACTTAAATTGGTTATTTTCAAAAATTAATGGAATCTGATGTTGCTTGATCGAGCTTCTTGTTAGATTAATAAAAACCTTAAAAAAAATTGATGTAATAAGAAAATTAGGGGGATGTGGTAGCTGAGTGCGATAGATTCTCTGCTCGTACACCCCATGATCATGGGTTCAATCTCCACCATCACCCCTGGCCTTTTCATTCTCCCCTTCCTATATTGTGGTATGATATTACTACGATAATTCACTACTCTGGCTAATATGGTACATAAGGCAAAAAAATTACTTTTTCAGTTCTGTTTTCACTTTCAACATATTTAGTTATAATTACCTGATTTGCATTTTTGTAGTGCAAAGTTTTTCAGTTTAAGTTTCATTAAAAAGAAATTAATATTTTGTTTACATGATAGAAAGTCAGTGTATATTAAACATATTTTATTATCAAACATTTATAAAATCGTAAAAATAGAAATTAAAGTGGAGGGGGTGTCAGTGTCCGCAACGCACTCATCACTGTAAGGAAAAGGTCCGGGTTCGAATCTAGCAGTTCAACGTACAAATTGGTTTCCCCCCCTTCAAAAACATCGTCACTCTGAGTTGATATAACCTCTGCCCTCGAACCCTCGAGAAAAACAAAAAAGTTAATAATGTCCCAGTTATCACAAAAAATTAATAAACTTATAATTAATCACTGGCATACAGAAACGAATTTTATTGAGAATTAAGATAATTTGCCATAATAATTATGCTAAGTATAAACAATAATTTTTATGTTAATTTTATAGACAGATTTTTACTGTGCATGCGAATTAAGGCATATAAATATATGCTAGTTCTGGATAATTAAGGCTGATGAAAACAAAATACGTTGATGTAAACATTACAAAAATTTAATTGCTCTGTAAAATAACTTTCGTACAGGATTCTTTTTAAAAAGTGATGCATGAGTTCTTTGCAAGCATGAAACTTTTGTTGTTCATACTTGGAATTTATTTATTTTCCTTTTTGTATAGTTACAAATATAAAAGTGTAGATAGTGTGCACCATTTTAGTGGTAGTTATTAAATTGGTTATTTTGGGAATGCTTATATTCTGTTTCTATTTCTGGAAGAAAAAACTTAAAAAATTAAAAAATAAAAACTTTATACTACTAATACTATAAATATACAAAACAACATGCCTGTAAATGTATAATTATTAGTTTATTACATCTTTATAAACTGTATATACCATACCTACTAGTTTATAATTAATTTTAACAAACTTAATTGATTACCAAAACAAAATTGAAAAAAGTTACGTTTAACAACAGTAATAAGTACTAACTGCAAGCAATATTAATAAGATTACACTACAGTATATTTAATATTAGTTTGATCAACCTGGTACTATTTATAATTTTAATTTTAAAACAATAATGGTCCATGAAAACAATACAAAACAAAGAAAGTAAAGTTTTTCACACAAGATAAAATAAAATTTATCATTACCCTTTAGTAAATTTTAATTAAAACCTTTTCAGGATGACGGACAGCCAGCAGCTGCATACACGCCCCAAGTTGAAGCAATATCGCCTACTTTGCCATCTGAAGCACAACAAGAGGATGCTAATTTTCGTTCGACCAAAGATCATTTACTTCACGGGATTTCTAAGGTTGACAGGGAGATAAGCGAAACTGAGTTGCAGATTTCAAAACTCAAAAGAAAGCTGGTATGAATGTATATTTCATTGAATTAACTTTTTAATTTTAATAACTTCTTTTACATTTGTAAACAGCAAGAGTTAGAGGAAGCTGCCAAAAAGCCGGCAACACAAACCGAAGAAGAAGAGGTACCTCAACCCAAACATCAAAGCCCCGCCCAAAAGATTTATGCAGAAAACAGGGTACATTTTAGAATATTAATTTATAAATTTCAAAAAGTGCAGTGTTACATTCTATAATTTTGCATAAATTGTTTCTTTCTGTGGTTTTATCAGTTTTTATTCCTATTATATTATAATAATATATTTTGTGTTCTAAAATATACAAGAGCCCTGTTAATCAGAATAATTTAATATCTTACACCAATAATTTTTTTGCAGAGAAAAGCACAAGAAGCACATATGCTGCTAAAAAATTTGGGTCCTAAAATTGAATTGGTTAGTTCAATTAGTACACATTATTTAGCTAATAATAGCAACAATAAATTAATTTTGTTTTATTTGTCTAAACTATAGCCATTGTACAACCAACCTTCTGATACAGCTGTCTATCATGAAAATAAACGAAGGTAAGAAATAGAATTTCAACTCACATTAAAACATACTGATAGCAAATAAAGAATAAATTTTTCAATTTATTTGATGTGTCTTTTAGGCATCTGCTATTCAAGAAGAGGTTATTAATCAATTTAAGAAAAAAACACATAGATAGGGAAAATCGCCAAAAAAGGCTGACATCAACCTATTCTTTGTTAGTTCAAGATTGGCTAAGGAAAGTTGAGAAGGTTCGTTTATAATTATAAACTAATTTCTTCTACATATTGGCTTTGAACCAATTATTCTTCTTAAATAAAATACTTGTTTTCTGACACATGTTGTGTAATGATATTCTATAAGTTATAACATTCTCATTACTTTTAGATTGAAAATTCTCAGAAAAGAAAAGCAAAGGATGCTAAAAACCGAGAATTCTTTGAAAAAATTTTCCCGAAGTTAAGGAAACAAAGGGAGGACCGTGAGCGATTCAACAGGGTTGGTGCTCGAGTAAAAAGTGAAGCAGACCTAGAAGAAATCATGGACGGATTGCAGGAGCAAGAGGTAGTCGATTTAACCTAATATTAATTATGAATAACTAATAATTGTTAAGAATTATTTGTGCTAATGCCTTCGACAATTTAATTTTAATTAATTTGTTTTTTAATTTTAGCTCGAGGATAAAAAAATGAGATCTTATGCTGTGGTGCCTCCACTTCTTCTTGATGCCAAACAAAGAAGTATTTATTATATCAATAATAATGGAAAGCTGGATGACTTTGCAGCTGTGTATAAAGAGAGGCAGTTGTTAAATATTTGGACACAAGCTGAGAAAGACATATTCAAAGAAAAATTTCTTCAGCATCCAAAGAACTTTGGAGCAATTGCTTCATATCTAGATAAGAAAAGTGTGTGTGACTGTGTTCAGTATTACTACTTAAGCAAGAAAACAGAAAGCTATAAGCGTGTTTTAAGTACGTATGCAGCCAAGTTGCTGCATCATTTGTACAATTGTTATACGATTCTATGTTTATCAAGATGTCGTTATTTTAGGAAAGACTCGTGTAACCACGAGGTCGCGCAGGAACCCCCAAAGCAAAGTGAACAGTGGAAATGTGAATAGTAGTTTAGCTATTTTGAACACTGCATCTGGGGTTACCACAAGACTTCAAAGGGAACAACTTCAAAAGCAGGAGCCCCTCCAGAATTCTACCTCAGTGTCTCAGGCTCATTGTGACATGTCTGATTTTATCTTGAACCCTCGCCCTCATCAACTTAACCAGCCATTATTATTACCATTGTAAGTACTTCCTCAAATTTTATGTTTTATTATGGATTACATTGTAAAATATTGCATTTGAAACTTAATTCAACACGTCCACTGCAGGCTTGTTTGGCCTGTAACAATACTCTGTAAGTGTTCTGAATTGATTTAATGGTTGAAAATTACGATGGCCAATTCTTTCACACTGCACATAGGAAAGGAGGGGGTGCTGTCATGTAGTCTACAGCTATAGTTAAAGTGTGAAATGTATATTTAGATTCTAGTCTAGTTGAAATTAATTAAATTTTGATAAAAATACAATAGTAGGAAATTTTGTGCATCTTTTTATTTAACTATTAAAAAAACAAAAAATTCTCCTTTTTTTTTAAATACAAAATAAGATATTTCATGCACACAAACTCACCACGCCCTTACAAATTTGTGTGTGTCTGCTCTCATCTGTAGATAAGAAAAAAAATTTGGAAAAATTGTTGTTGAAAATAATTTTTTTTATTTACTTTTTATTTTAATTGGTTTTTAAAATAAATCAAGCCTTGTTAATGATAAAACACTTTTTAAGCATTTTAACTTTCGTTTACGCTATACAGGCATGTTAGAAAAAGCACAATTATAATAAGTAAAGTAAAAACCCATTATCTGGCATTTGATTATTACCAATTGACCGTTATGTTGCCAGCAAAAATGCCGCAAATTACTTATAAATTGTTGTAAATATATAAAAAAAATATCTACTGAGTCGCGAGTTGGTAAGCAAACTGTTTGTGATATCACTAAGAAGAAAAGAAGAGATTATTTAATTTGTATTGTTGGCTTAAACGATGTGTCATTCTATAAAACATTTACCAATCAAGCTTACTATCAATAGTTCAAAAATGCTTCTAGGAGTTTTGCTTTCTTCGGCAATGAAGTGAGAAGTTGATGAAACTGATATTCCTTATATTCTCCCTTATTTCATCGATATTGATAGGAATGTCATGATAAATTGGCTGGAAATCGATATGAACGAATAGGATTTCAAAAACTCGTGAGATGCGGTCTGATGTTAGTTTACTGTGTAAATTTATAGCTGTTGCGCTGTCCCAAGATGATCTCCTCCTTTCATTTCAATGTCCGAATCGGCATTTTAACCTCTTTCATGTGCTTTTCATAGTACTAACTTATGCTGGTAATTGACTTATCATTGTGACTCATTCCTTTTCTCACAGTCAAAATGTGTATTTATGATTCTTTTATTCAGATATGTTTAGCAGTCTTAATTTGACCTATTTAATTATTGGAATTTATTATACTTTTTATCTAAAGTTTTGGTTGGGATGGGAAAGTTAGTTTCTGTAAGCAGGATTCGAACCCATGACCATCGGCTCAATAAGCCACTGCTCTCATGATAGCTCAAGTGGTTAGAGCTGCAGCGTATTGAACCAAAGATCATGGGTTTCAATCCCACTTGCGTCACTAACTTTTTCATCTCAACCAAAACTTTTAGATAAAAAGTATGATTAATGGTTAACTCATTCAGCAGGCCAAGTTTGCCATTAGTATACATTTTTTTATAAATATATTAAATGTAAATTTACCTTCTATGTCTAGTGTGTAAATTGTACTTTAATTTTCTTTGCTGTAATACTGTCCTGTTTTGGGAATGTATTCAGTCTAGACTTTGTACAAATAAATAAATAAACTTAAATAACTCCGTAGAAAGGACTTGTTGCCATCAACTTGTACTCATATTATTAATGGAAATGAAAGAGTTGTAAATAAAGCAATAGTTCCAAAATCAAAGAAAATGAAGCACCTTCAAGTAGTATAGGCATAAAACTTCTTTTAAATTATTTTGACTATTAGAACACTGATTAGGGCAGAATTTATCATCGTAATTATTGAGTACTGTCATCATGAAAGAAATCTTAAATAATGAACAAAGTAAAATAACACATTTTTTCATCAAATAAAGATGCAGATAATTTAATCTATACACATATAGTGAAAATTACATTAATTGTACAATAAAAAATTATAACTCGATTATCTGTGAACCAGCTCCCTCTCTATCACAACCACGGATAATGGTGGTCTTACTTTAGTGGTAGTAGTAGTATTTAAATAATTTTAGAAATGTATTATTTGTAATTAACACATGCGTATGTTTATTTCAGGGATAAAAAACTTGAAAAAGACAAAACTGAAACCAAGGAAATTAAGAAGAAGAAAGAAGATGAAGAAGCTACAGACGAAGACATGTTTGAACCGATGAGTATGTTTTTAATAAATTTTTTTACCGATTCCAATATTTTAGCTATAGTTTTAATTGTAGTATATAAAACATAATACAATAGTTGTTACATATCACAAACATTATAAGTAGCTTACTGAAGCATTGCTATTGTGCTAGTTAGGTGTGGTTAGTTTTTTTTACTTAATCCAGAAAATTAAAAAAAAAATTGATTGATTTTTAAAAAATTATGTAAATGAAAATATGAGTGTGAATTTGCTAGTCTTTCTTAGGTTGTTAGAAAAATATGTTGGACTGTTGTCCATTGATAAGATGTTGAATTTAATTGAGGTGTAAACCTATTAGAGATAAGAAAATGCTTAATAACTAAAACTAAAGATTTATCCTGGAGCTTGCCTAGAATGCATTATATTAGGGATACATTAAGCAAATGTTAGAAAAATGTGAATGTGAGTCAGATGTGATCAATTCCAATCGAACTCTCATGAGATTTGACCCAATGTCACAGGGGATATTTCATAGTTTTGGCACAACTATTTGTTCCACACTAGTCAGACGTTCATATAAATCTGAGGCAGTATTTCAAGGACATCGTACCTCAAGCTTCTGCATGTAAGCTCATCGTTTCTTAATAGTTAGTGAATCTTTAAGATGCATATGTAGCACTTAACAGTTCAAAGTATGCAACCACTGGACATTCACTTGGCTTTTGCATCTTCAAAGATTAGAAAGATTTAATTATCTCTTTTATATATTATCCTTAGTGAACTTGGAACATCAATGTTTCATAGTTATGTCATGGAATCAAATTGAAGCTGTTACCACAGCATTGTACATTATGATTCTTATGATCATCTTTAAAGGCGAGAACCTGGTAGAGCTTGAGTTGGATAATGAACCGCATTTAAAAATTTAGGCATTTGAGAGATGAACCTTCGGTTTAGACCAGCACATAGCAACATGTGACTGTCAGCATTAATGTACTTAAAAAATCTATGTAAACAAATATGCACAGATAGCTGACGTTGAACATAGCAGTTGTCAGCCTTTAAATAAACCACTACTACTCTATAAACAAATATGTGGAAAATGGGAAATACCTAATGGCTAGGTTAAAGGACACTTCATTGAGAATAGGGTTGGGCAATTATAAATTTATATATCTAGGTAACTTAGTACATATTGCAGAAATTTTGTCCTGGAAGGAATTTTTTAAATTTTAATGTAAGATTACATTCTTTATTATTTACATACCATTCACTCAGTTAAAGTGGTGGAGTACTTGATATTCCTCCATCACTCTTTATACTATTAACCTATTGAGGGTTGATGGGTACTCAATATTCCACCATCAGCCTTCTTACACTACACATTCTTGCCAATAAATACATTCACTCTAAACACACATTAGGTACACAAATATATCAATACTATATACAGTTAAAAAAAGCCCTGTTTCGTTTAAAAATCGGAACAGGGGACCCAGATACTTGCTGCCTTGCTTGTGCAAAATTCTCATATCGTTTGGCATTCCTACATGCTCTCTATGTCTAACCAAGGAATGGCACCATTGAATTAAGTGGGATACATCAAGCAACCTTTCTCTAGATGCTGGACACATACGCGGGCTATATACATAATGAACAATGATGAAAGGAACTGATGTTTATTATACAAAACTATCAGTACCCACATTTTTGCATTATTAAATTTCAATTTACAATAATTGAAATTACATTAATCAGTTGAGAAAATGTGTTTTCTTTTGTTTCTTCTTTTTTCTCCTTTTTTGATAAATATTTTGTATCAAAATTTTAGTTTGTGTGTGGTATTTATTACAGTTAATTAATGATTATTTATAGACCAGACCACATCTTATGATCTCCAAATAATCATTTTATCATTTTAGTAGTAGTAAATAGACATTAAATCATATATTATTAATATATTTAGAAAAAATAGTGCATAAATACCATAAATAAAATAGAGTGCATAAATACTATAAATAAAATAGCAAATGTATAAAATTATTTACTAATTCCTTCTTATTTAGAAGAACGTTATAAAATTAAACGTACGATAGCACTAATAATTTTATTACATAAGACAACGACCATTTCATAAATACACCAACACCTTTATGACTTGCTTGAACAGCTTTGGGTCTCCCAATATTCATGCTACATGTTGTTCAGAATGCATTTCTTCAGTATTTTGCCATCCCCATTGGTTGAACTGTGGTTAATGTGGTTCTTAAAGCCAGATGAGATTGAAAGGAAATAGGATTATTTTGAAGTTATTAAGAGTAAAATTAGGGGACCGCGGTAGCCGAGTGGTTAGCATGATAGACTCTCACGCTGCGGTCGTGGGTTCGATTCCCACCGTCGCCTCTGGCCCTTTTTTCCCGATAACCCCCAATTTGAACAACATATGTAAGAGATTCGTCATGGCTAATATGCAAAGATCATAAGGCCAATTAAAAAAAAGAAAAAAAAAAGAGTAAAATTGTCATTTTGCGATGCATCTTTAGTGATGTTATTGGTGTTTTGCAATTCAGTGTCTGTTATTATTGTTTTTTTATATTTCTCAGTTTCCTCAACTCCTTACATTATGGAGAGTCTCTTACTGTGATTAATTAATCTGAGATATTTATAAAATAGTATAGAAAATAATATAACTTTTGATTTACAAACAGGAGAATATTAATATTTCTTTTGAAGGGTTAGTTTTCCAATAATGAGCATGTAGTCCTTTATTTAAAACTTTAATTTTCTCTTTTTTGCACTCATTGTTGTCGTTTTGAGTTTGCATATCTTTTGCAATTTTTGTTAAGTACTATTTTCCGCATAGATTTTTGACATCCAAGCCGGTCCTCGTACTTAACAAAAGTACCAGAACACAAGCAAACGGCTCGAACGTCGACTCTATTGTAAAAAAGAGAACAATAAAGTTTTAAATAAAAAACAGACCATATGCTCGTTATGGGAAAACAAACCCTACAAAATAAAATTTATACAATTTCATGTGGAAAAAGAAGAAAGCAACTAGTACTATGAAAAAGATTATTAATATTTCTATACAAAATAAAAGTAAATTATACAGGCATCTAAGATTCTTAAAAATTACACAATAAATTTTTTTACATATCAATAGCAGATCTTATTTAAAGTTCAAATTAACAACCAAGAAATTTCTATAGTTGCATGCTTCTCTCATATATGCATAAATATAACAGAAATGAATCTGTATGAACGTGGTCTCTTCCAAAACACACTAAAACAACTGGCCTCTGACTATCCACCTCATCCCCCTTGTTGAGCTAACCTTGATAAATTGTTATGTTTTTAATTTCTAATGGATTATCTGTTGGTATACCTTGAGAGATTGATTAGATTTTTATTTCCAGAGAGTTAAAAGTATTTTTTTTTTTATGTTTTATTTTTGTTTGTAAATATTGTCCCTATGATATCATTCTTGGTGAGAAACAAACTAATCGCGTTTGTACTGTATGTTATTTTACCTAGTAGCTTGTAGTTATTCTGTGGTATGTAGTGTTGAACTTAATCTGTTTTTCATGTATTTAGTACATGTTGCCGTTGCATTTATGAGCAGGCGGTTATAATGTTTTCTTGTTTTTTCATCCTCTTCTCCCTTCAGTTGTTATGTTTTTGCTGTTATTCACTACTGATTATGTTGGTAATAATCCCAGTAATTATATTTTAAACATTGTGTGTTCACGTCATGGATAGCTGATGTGATTTTTTTATGTATGCCTAGTTGGCCTTATTCTGATTACCTCTCTATCAAATCACTTATACATAATCTTACGAGAAACGTGTTCTTTGAGAATATACTCAATTTGGTAGAATGCCAAAATGTGTCTAACGTACAAATGTTTAACAAAGCAAACACAGAACATTCACACAAAAAAATGTTACTGGTATTGATTCAGTAATTGAACTGATTGAGTTGAAGTATAAGAACTTCAGTTTATTCAATTAAATATAACATCTTAATTTTTATCATTGTGTCTTTTTAAATTCTTCTTTTTGAAAGATATTAGTAACTGTTTTAAAAATGGAAAATGAAAAAAAAAAAAAACAATTTTTTTTAATTCTTCCTCCCATTTTGCCATGTTTCCAAAAGGAGGGAAAAATTAAAAAAAAAGTGAGGTTGAGATGGGAAGTTTGTGTCCGTGCAGATCGAAGTCACGATAGCTCAAGTGGTAGAGTAGCGGCGTATCTAGCCGAAAGTCGTGGCTTCGAATCCCGCTCGTGGCACTGACTTTTTTTTATGTCGACCAATACCTTACTTAAAGATTAATTCATTGCAAAGAATTTAATTGGTCAATCGGACCACGAAACCTAATCGATTTTATGTGTGTGTGAATATTTTTAAAGGAGTAAAATTGATTTTATATCATGATTTTTATCTCAATCATAGATTTATGCTGTTTACTTATGTAAACTACTCTCAACATCGGTTTTGCACGTTTAACATATTATTGCCTTAATCCATATATGTTTAGCGGTATATAATTATACCGAAATAAACTATTTCAATTAATCATTTTATCTAAGGTGTTAGTGGAGATGAAAAAGTTGGCGTCACGAGCGGGATTCGAACCTACGACCTAAGGCTCAGTACGTCGCTCTTCTAACACCTGAGCTTTCGTGAATTCGTATTATTATTGCCCTGGTAGCCGAGTGGTTAGGGTAATAGACCCTCGGCTCGTGGACCCTGTCGTCGTAGGTTCGATTCCCACCATCACCCCTGACCCTCTTTTCATGCAACCCTTCTCCTCCCCCCCTGCAAAAAAAACGCATCGCTCTTATAATATATCGCGTTCCTTGGCTAATATGGAAAGTTCATAAGTCTATTAAAAAAAAGTCAATAGAGAGTAAAGTATATTTAAACTTTGATTGGACTGCACTACAGTTATAAGCAATAGGTAAACATTGGTTAAGTCCAAAATTCATCAGGAATTTAAAAACAAATCGCTAACAACGTTGATTTGAAAATAAGTCGAATATCAAAACTTGTCATAATTACAATGATATTTTTTAATAATGCAGGAATCGGTAAAATGACTGTGCGGGGTTTGAAAATATGACTCGTTGAGACCAAAATTCATCAGGAATTAAAAAAAAAAAAATAGCTGGAAACGTTTATTTGAAAATAAGTCTAATTATTCAGAAATCGTGAGATGCGGTCGATTTCTGAATAATTATCGATTAACGGTCACTAATTACCACAAATAAGTCTAATATCCAAACTTGACATAGTTTTAAGTATATTTTGTAATAAAGCAGGATTCGGTAAATAACTGTGCAGGGTTTAATAATATATGTTAATAAAACTATTTAATTGTTAATGTTTAATTATTTCAGAAAGCATTAATTTGTTCTTGGTGTAACCCCAAATAATTGCTACTGGCCTCCATTTTTTGCAAAGAGTCACGCCCTTTTTGTTTAATTTTTCTTAATAACAAAATTTGTTAATTTAATGTAAAAAAAACTATATTGGGTTAACTTTTAAAGTTTTAATTTAATAGTGTCAGAAAAGTAATAATAGATTTTTTTGGGAATAACAAAAGAAATGAAAACGCTCGAATATAATTTATTTATTTCTCATAAAAGTATCAAGAAATCAAACAAAATATAACTAAATATAGATACAAATTTGAAATAAATGCTAAACATTATAAACCTAAAAGTCTAATGATTGTCCTATAAATTACTGCCGGAAGCATCACAAATTTTAGCTACAATTTACCTGGAATGTTATTAAAATTTGTTTTTGGCACTGGGTTTCCGTTAGGCTACTTTTGGGCAATAAAATTTATACTGATCCAATTGTTTTTATGTACATAAATAGCCTTTAAGATTTTCGTTTAGAGCACGACATGAAAATCTATTTACAAACTGTGACAGGAATATAATTTTTACAGTTATCAAGTCAATATTTGAGCCAAAGCGTATGATAATAGTCCCTTCATTTGACTTGTCAGGGAGTAAACACAACTAAGAAATTTCTCCAATTATGCATTTACTAATGGGACAAAGTGAAACTATTATTATAGAGGTTCTTAAGAGGATAATTAATTTCTATTGGTATTAATTAAATTAAATCGGATTTTGTCTAGAAACGTAAAGTGTCTGCGATCAAAATATTAACGATATTCTCTGCATCGGCGTGTTAGGTGTTATTATTTTCTCCAAATTTACCTTAGCTCACTCCGCAGGCTCTTCGTTCTGGCTGTTGTTGGAGGGTAGTTTCTCTTTAATAAACGGTTCGTTCGCATGGCACAATTTTCTATGTTTGTGAACGAAGTAGTAACTAGGAAATTTGGAGCCGCATGTCTTGCATGGATAATACTGTACATTCATGTCTTTGGTGTCTTTTTCCGGGTTGTTGACAGCACTGAGGGTGACGGGGTTCAAATGTCTTCTCGTGTGTTTTCTGTAGCAGTAATGGCTTTTAAAAGTGTGTTTACAAAAGCCGCAAATAAAAACTCGCTTGTTGTCTGTGTCGTTTCTCCCGTTTTCGCCATCTTTCGAGTTGTTTTCGCTGTCTGAGAGGACGCCGTAGTTTAAATTGAGCACCCTTTTAAACCTGACGGGCCCGTCACAGCAGGCGATGTCCTTTAAAACGCCTTTGTTGGATTTCACGCTGACCGTGTCGGAAGAATGAGAACCGAAACCGGGAGATCTGTCCCGCTGGAAGTCGTGAAGAGTCGGTGGCGGAGGAGGCGGAGGTCGTTCTACGGAGGTCGAAGGCACCGGGTCTTCGCCGGCCGTCGGCTCGTGTCCTCCCGCTTCTTCGGGGACGCCGTCTTCGCCGCCGCTTCTTCCTACGACGTGCGGCACGTTGTACGGAGGAAGGCCGAAAGGAGGAGGGATCGGCGCCGAGAAAAAATGAGGAGGAGGCGGAGGCGGCCAGTACAACGCCGTCGGGATGTATTTCCTGCTCGGGATGGGTTTCACCAGGTTCGGGCTCGGGTTTCTCAGCCTCTCCCCGAGAAGGTAGTTCCTGCAGATCTCGACCGCCCTCGGCATGTGGAGGAGATGGGTCGCCAGTAAAATCGAGTATATGTTCTCGGGATTCAAGTCCAAGAAACCGGTGTTTATGAAGTTGAGGATCGCAGCGAAGACGTGAGGGCTTATGCTCGGTACGGATATGTGATTCCTTTGGGAATTTTCTAAGAGGGACTTGATGTAGCCGCTGTGGTGGGCGAGCAAGGTCCTCCGGCCGGAAAACTGACGGCTCTCTTCACCGACCCCGACCGTTATCATCACGACGGCTTCGTTCTCTTCGCCCTTCAACCAACCCCTGTACAAAGAGTACATTTCACCGCACCGATTACAACCAAATACTAATTGTTCTAAATTAAGAAGCTTTGTATAGCCCCGTCCTGGCGCAGGCGTAACTCGTCTTCTTTCTCATTGGCTTAGCTTTCTTCCCTCCCCCAACGAGGGGGTGCTTGAATACACACATCCGCGAAATATAATTAATAGATCCAACGTTCAACACAGTCTGTTTACCATCTTTTACCATCATGTTTTTGGAATGCTTTATGCTGTGTACTTAGCGATTTAAATTAGCTTTATTAAAACTTTGAAATCTTGAAGAACAAAACACTTATCTACAATAGACCCAAAACATGGCTATTAAATAAATGTACCCCTTAACGACTTTTATAGGCCAACCGGTTACTCCTGCATTATTAAAGTCCTGAGGTCTTCCGATACTAGATACTCTAAACAGAGTGTTCGGCTAATCGTGTTACAAACTTTGCCAGCAGATTTTACATTCGAAATGGAACCAAAAAGACCTAATTAAGTATAGTCCGAATCTCAACAGTTTCGGAGTTATTCCCCTTTTTCTGATTTTTTAAGATTTCACAACCTCAGTTCAAATAAACAATGATAACCCCAAAACTAAAAGGTTTTGAGCGAATCCGTTGATACCATTGAAACCTACGTTAAATTTCCAATAAGATGTGGTCAATGATAAACTTGTAAACGTTCGTGAAATAAACGTTTTGGTAGCGAGAACTTTGAAAAAAAATTATTAAACTTACTGTAGTGATTCTAAACTACTATTTCCAAACCTAGAGACCAGCAAATTTCAGAAAACTTACTCCATTTAATATCCTTCTTGGTGATGCAATTCCTTTTTAATTACTTTTTTCAAAGATGAAGAAATTTATTAAAGAAATGTGAAAACCGTGGTTGACGTATTGGTAAGGTGGAAAGATTTTTTAAAAAAATTAATAAACCTAAGGAAATTTTGAATGAATTTTACCACCACGACTGCAACTTTGATTAAAGGATTATTGTATTTTTGTTCTATTTCTCCGGAATAAAAGAGTTTTAAGATGCAATTCATTTTTAGTTCATTCATTCAAAATCTAATAAGTTTTTATTTTTTATTGTTATTATTATTAATCTTTTCACCTTTCCAATCCGTCAACCACGGTTTTCTTCCTTTTCTCCATCAATTTCTTCATCTGTGGAAAAAAAATAATTAAAAAAGATATTACACCACTAAAAAGGATATTATTATCACCAGGTATGAGAATAGGGTAACCCTCATATGGATACCTGCTCATAAGGGGCACTATGGCAATGAGGAGGCGGACAGCCTGGCCAAGGAAGGTCGGACCACAACCGGTATTACCCCACTCTTTAAGCACAGCAAAAGAGAGTATAGGTAGCTGGGGCATGAAACAATTCCTTAAGGAATGGAATATGTCCCCAGGATGCAGGCAATCGAAGGAGTTTCTGAAGGAAATCAAACCTAAAGAATCGAAATGGCTATTCTCTAACTCTAGGAGGGGAATAAGGAGGCTGATAGGTATCCTAACGGGCCATTGCCCCTTGAGAAGACACCTCTTCATAATGGGTACTCTACCAGACCCCTTCTGCCGCTTCTGCGAAACAAAAGAAGAAACGGCCCGACACTACCTCGCAGAATGCGATAGGTATGCTAGGGAAAGATTTAATACTTTCGAAGGAGAGGACATAACCAAAACACTCCCCAGGATAAAATGGTCCACAATCCTGGGGTTTGTGAATAGGTCCAATAGGTTTATGCAGGACTCGTGAGCCGACCAGGTCCCGGACCTTTTAGGGATGGGGTACGGGCCTACTCAGGCTTTTAACCCCTCGGGTCCTGGTCGCCCGCCCTGTGTAATATATATAAAAAGGATATTAAATGGAGTACGTTTTCTGAAATTTGCCGGTCTCTAGGTTTGGAAATAGAGGTTTAAAATAACGATAGTAAGTTTTAAACTTTGAAAAAAAAAAAAAAATTATTTTTCATAGTTCTGGCTACTAAACGCTTATTTCACTCACCAACGTTTACAAGTTTAGTATTGATCACATCTTATCGGAAATTTAACGTAGTTTTCAATGGTATCATCGGATATGCCCAAAACCTTTTAGTTTGGAGTTATCATTGTTTATTTGAAGCAAGGTGGTGAAATTTTAAAAAATCAGAAAAAGAGGAATAATTCCGAAACTGCTGAGCTTCGGACCGTAGTTAATTAGGACTTTTTGGTTCCATTTTGTATGTAGAATCTACGGGCAAAATTTGTAACACGAGTAGCCGAACACCCTGTAGAAGAAAATAACTTGTGATTCTCTCTAGATTGAGATTAGGTCACATCAGGCTAATCCGTAATAGGTTTTTACTAGGCAACAACCTTCCATCTCGTCCTCGATGTACAGTAATCCGTTAACACTCGCGATTTCGTCATTTGCGGAAGTCCGATTTCTTTATTCGCGGGGGGGAAGAAGTTAAGAAAATATTTTTTTTTTAAATGGATTGGCGACTCTAAGAATATTTCACCGTCAGCCCCTTCTAATTCACATTAATAAATACAATTGCTCGTGCAAAACATATATTTTGTCGGCTATGTACATATAAAAAAATCCCCAATTCCCCCAAAAAGCGGAACATGGGACCCTGAAACTCGCTACCGTGTCTAAGAACCATTCTTAAATCCGGCGGCATGCCTACACGCTCGCCGTACGGAGCCATGGCATGACGCGCCTCTATGTGGGAAACATCGAGCAACCTTTCTCTGTAAGGTTAGAATAGGAGAATTCTTCTGAGGGCTTTTAATTGGAATTGTTGGGTTGGATATTACTTGGTGGTACTCCGCAGTTCCGCTCCGTGTGTCAAAAAAGGTCGAAGTAATGCTTTATAGTTCGTTCTTTGCCTTCAACAGCGGAACAGCGATTATAAATAGGTAATCACAGCATCACCCCTTTTGTATAAAATAGTTCGGGTGTTATAAGGGTACTTCACATATGGAAATGGGTCTGGACAATGGTGACATCAATTCGGACATATCGATACTTTCCTTAAAACTATTTCCCCATAAGAACGACCAAACCTTCACATTCAACAATTCGTCTTCATCAATATAGACATTTGGTTTATTAAGTTTATATTAAAAGAGGGAACTTCATAAACAGTTGTCAATGTATTTAGTAATGAAAATAACGGTCAATTATTCTTTTTATGTAAGGTCTTGATTGAGATGAAAAATTTAGTGTCACGAGCGGGATTGGAACCCACGACCTTCGGCTCAACAAGTGGTTAGAGCAGCGGCGTATTGAGCCGACGGTCCTGGGTTCGAATCCCGCTCGTGACACTAGCTTTTTCGGTGGATTAAACCAATAAACATAAATAGATTAATAAAGGCCAATTTTCAACACGAAAAACCATTCGCGCGAATTCCAAAAACAGAAAAAATGGTGTAGAATGCATTTACAATATATTCTCAACGATCAGTTTATCTACTCGGGGTGAAACAAAAATATTGCACAAATTGACGACCTTTTCATTTTTTTCTGCGGTTTTCTAAATAAATAAAACGATTTTATGACAAATGTCTCCATGACGTTATTTCATTTATATATGACTTTTTATTATCGTTAACTAAAACGAGGTCGTTTTAAATCTGTTTCAGGCAATCAGGTGATAGATAGCAAAGAGAACACTGCAGCAGCGCAAGAGGCGAATTCTGAGGCCATGAGTAAGTATTTTCTTCTATACCGAGACAAAATTGTAGTTACTAATGCCAAAAAAAAGAAGCTAAGACTACTAAAATTTATCCATATTTTTACTGTCTTAAAAGATTTACTCATTTAAATCAAACTGTACTATCGCACCAAAATCGGCAACAACGTGAGAAAGTTTAGTTTAAAAAAGTCTTCGCTCCTTTTAACTGACTGTTCGTTTGTCACAAAAGATAAGTAGAAGAGGGACTCCCTTGGGATGGCCCATGGGATGAAAGCCTTTTGTCATCAATATTCTACTCTTTTCTTTCTTAACGACTAAGAGCTCAACAAGAGAGACCCGAGATTAATAATTAATACTTAAATAACTGAAAAAGTAGCCCTCAATTTAAATAGATTTACACGGATTTTAGTCCATATGTTCACTGAGAGGCAAAGAGTGGCTACCCCTTAATATTTTTATTTATCTCTTAGACAATCCTCCATTGACTGTCATACAATATTTGGTCCGTTTTAAAGGATTAGAAGTAAATAAAACAGAGATCAAATCTTCTACTTGTGTTTACAATTGGATTTTGGAAATAAATCTTGGGGATAGATAATCTCTTGTTTGTTGGTTTTTCTGTAAAGCTTCTACAGTGGTGCGACTTTCTTTTAAGTTGTACCATATTTTTTAATGTGTGTTTCTTAGTGAAGAAACATACATTTTTACCCGAGAGGAACAACACAACTAAAATGGGTTTTTACGAACATATCACCATCAAACATGGACATCAAACCATTGTCACACTCAAAAACATAGCAAGAAACCAGAAGAAACTAGCAGCTGCTACAAATCAACAGATTTTCTTACTAAAATATAGACAAAAGAAGGTATTTCCTACTCACATAAAAAATAACGTTAACTTCACAAACGCCGCAATAATACAACCAAAGACATACAGAAAGCCACTCACAAATTTAAAACAGACATTTTAAACATCGAAATTAACACTTGCATTGATAACATTAAAACACTAACAGACAATATCCACAAATTGAAACACATTGCTTGTACCGTGCTACCAACTGACATCTCTAACAAATTTTACACTTACCAACAAAATATTATGTCAAGCTATTCGACCAAATCAAAATAAACACGTAACACACAACACAAATCATATTTTTTACGTTTCAACTTTGTTTGCGTGATGGTTTTAAGTGATACAGCTTCGGCTAGAAACCATAGCACGTATATGGCCAGAGTGCTTAGCACGCCCAGAACATCTTCGGAAGGGTCTTCCATCGCTACCAAGGTTATCAAGAAGGCATCATCGTATCACATGTCAGATCGTTTTATTGTTTCGAATGTACTCCATAATCGACATTCTACCGCTGCTAAGGTCAAGCATCGATTTCAACAAGTTAGGAGTGTTAATGTCAGCTTATACACTGTAAGGCAAGAGACTTTCAGAAGCACGATTACGTGCGAGAAGGCTGCCGATGGCCCAGAACTTTTGACAAGGCGCAGAACAGCTCGATTAAGTTTCGCACGAAGTCAGTTGGTCTGAGCAAGATTGGACTAAATCTTGCTTTCGGACGAGTCAAGGTTTTAAGGTCTTCTGACGGCCGAGATAGGGTTTGGAGAAGAACAGGAGAGGTAGAGGGATATCCCTGCAACATTTCCACTCCGGGGAAGCTTTGGAGGTGGTGGTGTTACGGTGACACAAACTTGATCTTCATGGAGGGTTCCCAGTTGCGGCTATGCGTTGAAGATGTGTTATCAGAAGTTGTTCCTTACGTGCCACTAATTTGCGAAGGTTTTATTTTTATGCATGAAAATACAAAGCCCCACACAGCTAGGAGGATCGTTAGCGACTACTTAGAACGGGCTTCAATTTATAGTTTGGCATGGCCAGCATGAAGTCCCCGAAAACTTTTTTTTTTATTTAGCTGTATAAGAGGGTGGCCACTTTTTTTTCTTCTTATCAGTGTGTTAATTTTGTTTTACGAAACCTTTGTTTCCCCTTGTATAAATGTAGTATAATATGTATTAAATTTAGTAGTTTGTATATGCACGTGCAGTGTCATTTTCTTATGTTTTTCATGAATTATAAAGGACTTTTTAATAATCAATTTAAAACAATATAGTATTGCTTTTACTTGTTATTTTTGTAATGTTTACTTCTCTCTCGTTCCATAACGGATTGAAAGAGGAATTAATCTGAACAATAAAAATATTCTACATTATTATTCATTCTTTTTGTTTTTAATTTCGGAGAATGACACTCGGGGTCAGCGAGATTTAATGGTTATTGGCAGAATTGTAATGGTTATACTAACAGTTATTAATGATCATTAAATTATTTAAATTTAAATTTGATACATCGCGGAATTGTTTCCCAAAAAGGAATAAAGCGAAGGATCATTTACAGATATACATAGAATTGAAGCAAAGCAGAATTATACATCCACATATGGTAGATCAAGTTTAAGTGAATTAATTAATTATAATAATGGTATATTTTTAAGCAGACATCAGTATTAATAGCCCGATTAACTAAACAATTACATGTAATGATATTTGAAAGGAATATTTCACCAAAAACGTTTAACAATTCAACACATCTACGTATCGATAATTGGAAAAGCCGGAAAAATAAGCTACTCAGACGTGTTTATTCGTCAAAATTCATAAAGCGGGGAACACACCCGATTCAACGCTATGCGACGCTACTCTACTCTATGCTACGCGATGCAACCAAGTTCCCCATTGTCCAGATTTTCGTCGAGTAGCATCGAGTACAGTCGAAGACAAAATAACCGGATACTCATATTTTTATTCAAACTACATGTATTATCGTAATTACAACGTTAATTACAACATACTTATTTTAATATAAACCAAATTAACCGAGATTAAAAATTCATTAGTTTTTATTAAAATAATAATAACAATAATAATTTTAATGGTTTGGTAGAAAATTAATTAAAACACCGGAATACCATTTTTTGATATAATGACATTAACTAACAATTTATTACACGGTTTTGCTCATAAAATTTAACTAACAATTTATTTCATGGTTTTGCTCATAAAATTTAACTAACAATGTATTTCATGGTTTTGCTCATAAAATTTAACTAACAATTTATTTCATGGTTTTGCTCATAAAATTACACCATTTTCGTCGAGTAGCTCAGAACAGGATACTCATATTTTTTGTAGTTTATTTCAAACTATGTATATGTAATTTTGTCGTTATATTAATTACAACATTATTATTTTAATACAACCAAATTAAAAGAGATCAAAAATAGATGAGTTTTTATAAAAATTATTTTATTTTTGATGGCTAGGAAGAAAATTGATCAAAACACCGGAAGAACTTTATTTAAAAACAATTAAGTTTAACAAACTATTTATGACATGGTTGTGCTCATAAAATTTAACTAACAATTTATTACATGGTTTTGCTCAATATAATACATTAAGAACAAAACAGGAGTTGCGATTGTCACACTGATTATTGTGATACACGCTGTGTGACTACGTGGCGTGCGGTTGACGTCGCCTATGTGCACACCTAGCAAAACGAGACAAGGCGTCGGGTAGCACAGAAGTCGCCAAACTTCATATTAAAAATGAGCCATCCGTCCGTGAAATGAAATCAAAAACAGTGAGTAAATTCGTTCTTGTGATTCAACAACGCCTCAAATTTCGAATTCGGTTACGAAAATTGACGATAGTCAATGATTCAATGTCGTGCATATGTGCGTACCTGTTGATGAATTGGACTCACGGTGTATGCCGCGTAGCGTTGCATCTAGTGTGTTCCCCGCTTAATGAACAACAGCAGTGATGGGGTGTATGCTAAAAACCACCGTTTGACGGTTGTCCAATTGGGTTTAACACCATAAATAAATACACTTGCAATTACATCACTAATGATAATCGAAATGGCTAAATAGTTTCGCTTCGCGTTCATGAGTGATAATCGCACGTCGGAATTAAATTTGCCTCGGTAATTTTCGGTAATCGTTTGTTATTGCGGGCCGGAGCTTAATTTTATCAGAAGGGGAAGAAAATGGAATGACACACGGCGGTTTTGAAACGTGCCGCATTGACAGGGCCCAAAGGGATCTAACTTAATTTGCCCTATAATCCTCTATAACGGTGGTCCTTGATGACGGATGGTCCGAATGGTTACAACCGGTTTAACTTATTCATTTACACCGGCAAAGTCAATAACGCAACGCTTCCCCTCCCGACAGCGAAAAATTACGGATTGAATAGGAAAACTTTTCCCGGCTGAGCAAACAGTTTTAAATTGAATGAATCAATTGAGAATAATAAACTTTTACTTGGCTGAAACGTGAATCGATGATGAGAAAATCTTATAAACTTTTTTTTCTATCTCTCTCTCTATCTCTCTCTCTCTTTTACATCATGTTTTTAAAGTGGTTCTTACGTAAGCTAAATATTAAGTTTTTAATCAAAGAGCTTTTAAAAATGGGGTAATTAAGTTTTAATATAATCAATTCTAATGCTGTATAATTATCAAACTTTTGCATAATTAAATATACATAATTTAATTTTTTTCTTTTTAAAATCGTTACAAAGGTTAAGTGGTAAAAGTGTTTTGTATATTAATTTTCTAATAATCTGGTGGGCAAAGCTCAAGAAAAACTAGCTACCGAAACACTAGTCAGCACACAAAGACAACCTATGTATCACATGGGCAATGAGAACAACCTCTACAATTGCACTAGAAACTTCGCTAAACTTACCTCCACTGGAAACATTCGCACAAGGACAAATCAGGAAACGTCATTTAGGCTAAAAAAACGATCAAATTTGATGTGAACTAAACAATCATAATTAATAAAATCATAGACTTTTCTTTACAACAGCCATGCGAGGTTGACACACGGACTTTACTGTCTTATTTTAATTGATTTATTTTATTATTTAAACTGTACTCGCTTCTGTACACTTGAATTGGAACGATACAGAGAGCGTTGGTGGGCCGAA